CTAGTTGCTGGCGACGATTAGGCTTTTGTTTACGCTGATTACCGTTAAATCGAGGGATAACTCGGCCAGGTCTCTTCGTGTTGCTCTTCTAAGCTTGCTATATTGGGATCCTGCGGTGGCTCTGCGGCTGTTCTTACAGCGGGTTAGCGACAACGTCTTCGCCACAGAGGCATTTACAACCTAGTCACAAGCGCGGTCAATTCCCAGCAAGGGTAATTACTGAGTACCTCGGAGAACTCTGGGGCGAGACAATGCAGGTGCCGTTCATGGTCGCGGCGACGTTGTGGTAAGCTTCGCTTGGTCTGATCAAGGCGTTTGCCTACCTTGATAAGGGCAGACCCAGCTTCCACAGCTGGAAATCCTCGAAAGCTCTCTTGATGGCTGACATCTCATAGTGTATTTAAGTGACAGCCTTGCCCTGAGGCTTCCAGGCCATGTGGGGAAAGCATAGAAATGCTTCCTGGATATGCCTCTACTACGTCCTCTGCGACAGGTAGTTCAAGGCAGCCGAAAGCAATGCTTATACGGGACGATCAAGGATGTATTCCTCTCACACGGATACTTGTCGATGGGGATATCGTGCTACTTTTAACGCCAGTAGTCGTTCCTGCTGGCACTCCGCAAGGCTCTGAGCAGGACCCCTTTGAGCCTTTAGGCCGACGACTGGCAAGTCATCATCCATGGATTCGTCATGTTCCTTATACAGCACGTGGAGGCATTACTAGCACTCATGTCGGATTTATAAAACTGGCTAAGGCTGTAGTCTTTGTGATCTCCGCGCCACCACGTCCCGGTCAGTCTTCTCAGGTTGAAATATCGGAGATTGCCAGAGCGATTGGAGAACACCGCCCACAAATTATTGTCGCATGCTGCAATCTACAAGAGCTAGAGTCTCTCAAAGCCTCATTTCCTACTGTATTACAGCTGTCCGGCTACACACCGTCTGAACTGGAAGCAGCGGCGGACATCATGTTCAGGGAGACCCACGCTCTTTTATCAGCTGGCCCCAATATACAGGATCTGATACTAGAACCAAGACGTTGGCAGGTGGAAATCTGGAACGAGATGAGAGATGTGGATTCTGTTCACGAGCTGTGGAACAAGTGCATGCCGCATCGTTTTCGACTCGATCGCTTCACTCTTTCATCGATCCTATGCCGCGATGGCTATGCCATGCATTATGTCGTACGCGATCCCGAAACCCGTGAGATTCTAGGGTTTTGTGCGACATATACTACATATGTCGACAGTCAGGGTGAGAGACTGATTGGTTCTCTTGCAAACATCCTTGTTCAGCCGGGATGTAGAGGAAGAGGAATAGGGCTGAGCCTTCATGACCATGCTCTAAGACAATTGACGAGAACGCGTGGCGTCAGTCGTCTACAGCTTGGAAGCACTTTTCCACGTCTTCTTCATGGATTACCGGTCGATATAGAGTCCGAAGAGTGGTTTCGTCGACGCGGGTGGAGAATGGATGGCCAGATTCCTGGAAGCGGACAAGAGGCTTGTGACTGGCTTCTCAGATTTGATGAATGGCCTACGAGCGTTTTCACTTCGCCTAGTCTTACCTTCCGACATTGTGGCATGCCTGAATTCGATCTCGTCTTGGACATAGTTGAACGAGAATCTGCACGAAACAATCACATGGGGTGGTACGACCAATATGCTAAACTGGCCAATACATTTCACGTCAGTGATATAATGCTAGGCCTGGAGGGAGAGAATATTGTTGCAATAGCCTTGACTTACGTCAAAGATTCAGGAAGCGGCGTTGCTGAAGATCTACCATGGGCAGGGACAATATCAGGAGACGTAGGCGGCGTTACTTGCATCTGCATTCGAGGTAAGTCACATATAGGCACGAGTTTGCCGAACGCACCATTTCTGACATACCATCAAGATGGAAATCCGGTATTGGGCAACACTCGAGATTCGGTAATGATTCGGCTCCTCGATGCTTGTGTTGGAGTTCTTACGGAACAAGGTATGAGGAAGATGTTCATTGATGCTGTGAAAGGCGGTTACGAAGGGTTTCAAACTATGGGTAAGTCACGCTACCAATCACGGAAGCTTGGAAAGATATTGACCATGGACATTCTCAAGGCTTTCAAAAATGGGCTCGCTATAGAGATGTCTGGCGTGATGTATGACCACTCGATGGAAGGACGTTAGTCAACATCGCTACATACACCACCGCAGTCTCCACACATTGTTGATAATTCCAAAAGGGTCATGACTATGGTTAGCTTGATGGAGTTGAGAAACACCGAACACTTCCAGAGGGGTAGACCGGGATTTCCCTGCCATCGACTTCGACCATTCTTTATTGAGCTGGAAGGGATGGCGTCTTCGAAACATTACGATGTTGGTCTTTGGAGACATGCCCGGGACGTTACTCAGCCCAGTCATCTGACGTGGATTCTAAATGGGGGCTCTATTTGCATATGAAAAACAACGTCAGCAGTCGACATGAGCTCGGCTTTTCTATGGAAGGTCTAAGCTGTGAATAATCACCAAACTTTGCATTACTGGAGCGATGCGCAACTTTATGTCTCTCGACACGCCACATGCGTGAGCACCCGTCAAATCACATGAGCCAATCATCTATTAAGCAGATACCGCTCGAACAGCAATATTGTCGCTAGCGTTTGAAGACAAAACGGCATTTTTGGAGCCCCACTGCCATTATTCTCATATCGCGTTATGAGGAAGTCACAAAGCACTTCGAGTCAATCTTCATTCAGCTCAAATGGGCCTTTACAGTTCCTGTTATGGAATTAAGGATGAGAGAAGATCTGGGCTGGAGCTGGCAACCTGAGTAGCCTTCCCATGTCTGATGTCCGGAGCTCTTGATCCTCGAGACGACGACGGAGAGTCCCTAATTCGGGGTTTTAGGACAATATAAGACATCAATATGGAATAGGAGCAATAAAGCCATTTGTCGACTTCGCCTGAAGTTTTAGCGGCAGACATACGCAGTGGAAGCCGTTTCAAAGTTGCATAGCCCATGAAACAAAGCTCCCAAGGCTAGTTTTGATTTCTGGCCAGGGCACCAGAGCTCTTCCGCTCTTTACATCCCTTCCTTAGCAATCTTTTTTTTTATTCATTCAAACCCATCCATCACAGATGTAGAGCCTCATATCGATCCATGTCTTGGCCGGAAATGGCAAGCAACACCTATTTGAATCACATTGCGAAGCATGAAATGCCTGTAACCACGGGCATCCTGTTTGTGACGGCAACATCCCCCACACGGCCCTTCTTGACCCAACATGGTCTCGGGGGTGGCTTATGCCACCACATCTCACACTTGTGGGTTGCTAGAGTCTGCATTTGTCATGCAGGATGTTGGTGTGCCTCAGCAGTTCAAAGCTAATAGAAGGATCTACTATAGGCAGTTTATGCCATCATTCCCCTTCGGGGACTCAACCAGATCGCCCGCCATGGCACATCCCGCAACGTGCCAACCCTTTCCCTCCCGTCCCGTAGCGCACGTCAGTCTCAGAAACGAAGCCTGCGAGCGAGCCAGCAACCTCCTGCATTGCTGTGCCAATCACACAGCAGAGCCGGCAGCCGAAGGATCAGTGGTGCTGCACCATCTTATCTCCCCACGCGAATCTGGCACAGGCTATTCCCCGGCCAGCTCCCAACAGGATGTCTGGACGAGGCCAAATGTGACACATTTAAATTGCGAACCGGTTCGTATAGCTTCCTACTTTTGGAAGAACGCCGGCGAAGGCGTTGGCGGAACTAGCGGTCCTGAAGTCGCGGGGAAGAGTCAGAAGTCATAGTTATGAATGACGCCTCATTGTTGCACAAGACATCCGACCGCGCTGTTACACAAACCGGGGAACGTAAGCGATATACTGGGTACCGAACAAGGTCGGGTGTGCTTTTTAAGCTTACCTCACTTTGGCCCCCCATGCCTCTCAGGGTTCTTCCTTGCGCTCATCCGCGCTCGTCCTGCCCGAAATGTCTCAGCCCAAGATTCGGCCGTTAAGGACAGGGACGTCAGAAAGCCGGGAACGGGCCGAGACGGACGACCATTGACCGCTTATTCACCTCTTTTTGGCTGTGCTTTCGGTCGGGCTGGCGTGCTTGAATCCGCCGAATCCTTCGCTTGCTTTTCCGACAATGGCGGCTGTAATTTTATTCCGGACAGCTGGGAAAGCACTACTGGCGATTTGCTCGGGCCAGAACAGCCGTTGTTGCCCCCGGCAAAGGGAGGTGTGACTACTGGAAATTCACCATGAAGGTTGGCAAGTTTAAGAGAGCCGTTCGTGTTGGGTGGATGGATGGGTGAGTGAGATGGGTGGGCAGAGAGGCGGGCAAATATGCTGCAGACCCTTCCCAACCCACCATACTCTCACATGGCATAGGCGATCTCGTATGAGAATGACGCCAGCGGCGGACATAAGGCGGCATGAAAACGAGGCGTCAATTTCATCCAGATAGTGGGCGGCGTCGGAAAGGGGCACTTGTGTAACCACAGCATCGATCATCATGCTGTTCGTATTCGTACAGGAGCTAAGATATAGTAGTAAGCCCGCGTGTGTGATGGATGGATGGGTGGTTCCCCATATGGTGGACCGCGCGTCTCAATTCAGTGGTTCGAAAGTAGTAAGTACAGTAACAAGAGTAGATGTTGGGCAGGATGCTCCTGCTTTGCTCAGGGGTATCCATCGACCGTGCATCATCCCCGGACTGTCCTCCTTGGGCATTGCTTCGCCGTCACGGTGTGTAACAAACTGCACACCGAGATTCGAAGAAGATCTTAAATTACATGCAGTCCGGAGGCACGGAGAGAAAATATGTAGTAGAAACAACATAGTATAGGAAAGCAGTAACTTTTGTGGTATAATCCCTTCCATATCCATATACGCCGCCAATTCATTTGGGAAACCACCTCCCTTAACACATTGCCGCTTACAGGCTGCCAATATGGCAAATGGCAGATGGGGGCCAAGAATATCGAACACAGTTTACTATGAGCATTGTGCTCAGGCCCACTTTGAGAAGTCGAGCGAGTCTACCAGCGAATCCAAGCCGTTGATTTGCATGACCTCAGTGTCATTCGTGTTCGTTGACATCATGGACGAGCGGTGAGAAGTCTGGTCACTTGTCGTGGTGAAGAATGTGGCAACCGAAGAGCGCCGCAGGCTCGAGAAGCTATCTCGAACACCACTTGCTGGTCTTGAGCTGTCAGCCGAGGTCTGCAATTGTGGGCCGCTGCCACTGGTCACGATAGAACCGCCAACGGAGGTTGGTGGTGGCGACGGTGAGGGGGCCAACTTGGGTCCGTGTCGCTCGCGGAGGCGGTTGATCTCACGAAGGCGACTGCGCCATGAGGACACGTGCTCTCCGCCCTCGCGGTTCGCCCAGACAAGCGAGAAGACAGACGCGTTCAGGGCGACCAGCCGGATAAAGTCAGGCAGCGCCTTTAGGCTCACCATCTTCGTCTCGGCTGCCGGTGAGATTTCTGGGAAGCCCTCCTTGCTCATGACCTGGACCTTGAAGAATGGCCCGAAACCTGTAGCTTTCTCCTTGTCTCCTTCTTTTGCATCAGCTTCGCGTGCGGCTTCGCGGGTAGCAACGAAGGACGCTCTCGACTCTGGTGTGATGACAATATTGACATAGTTGAAGTCTGACGGGAAGGTGTCAAACTTGAATGGCAGGCCCGAGTCGTTGAATATAATGTTGACGAAATCATTGCCGATATGCCGTTTCTTGTTGATGCAATGGGGATCATGCTCTAGATTTGTTGGCATTTGCGTGGTGACATGAAATACCATCTCCGTGACTCTATCACGCCAGCAGAACGTGTACTGTCCATCGCTGTCATACTCACGATCCAGTCCTTGCGTGTTGAAGGTAGCACCCTTCAGTTTCGTCAGAGTACCCAGACCATTCAAGAACTCCACGTAGTCACGGCTCCCAGAAATGTTGGCTAGAATCTCGGTCTCTTTGGTTTGATTCTCTCCTATGTAGATGACGCCAACTTTGTGTCCATCTACGGTTGATGTGCGATCAAATAATCTGAGAGCCCGCTGGACAGCTTCATCATCTGGAAGGGGGATCGGTCGTAGGGCGACATCATGACTCTGTGGAATTGAAGAGAGCAATTGCACCAGAAGATGGCTGGGGAGAGTGCTGTGAGGTGGCAGATAATGAGGCTCCTTGCTCTCTGCCAGCATTCCAGTTTGATGAGACGGAGGTGGCCGGAAATTTTCACGAACAGTATAGCAAGATGTTCCAGACGGTTGTCTCTTGGTAATTTGAGCCCATCCGGCACCAACTGCTTGTTTGATGGTGACAATACTATTGCCAATGACCCAACGCTTCTCAAGAATCTCGCCAAATGTGGCATTTGTGAAGAAGGGATCTTCGGCAGACTCATCTGCATCAGCAAATGTGACTCTTTGCATGAAGTCGATGGTTGTCTGTGCCTGCTCGTCAGACGTAGCTCCGCCGTCAGCATCCTGGAACAGACGCTTCGCAATCCAGCCGACATGGTTGGCGCGATCAGGAAGTCTCAGTGCTAAGAACCAGAAGATGATGACATGATATGCGAGTGCATACACATATTGTGGTAGATCTTCAACGGCAGTAGGATGACCAAGTTGATCGTACTGGTGAGCGGTGATGATGCTTGGTGTGGAAGGCTCGCTAGTGTGGCTGTTTCGCCCATAACGTTTCTTTTCACGGACGGTGTCCAAGTATCGGAAGCACATGCCGAAAACGATTCGAAACTCCTCGTCTCTAAAGTTGCTATATATTCCGGGAAGACGACTGAGACACGCAAGGAATTCTAACACATGCATGGCTACGAACGGCGCTGTGATGATAGTCGCCATCTTCTGTAGGATCTGCACCAATGACTTGCTCACGGACAGTGGCAACTCGTGGCAACAGATGGTCAAGGCGTGAATACAAGTCTTCGCAGTTTGATGCGCAATGCCTTGCATGAACGTTCTCACTAGCTCGTCCTCTTCGGTCTTCGGGAAATGCTCATGATAACTCATAATCGTCGTTAGCATTTGGAAGATGCAGATCCCAACCTCCGGCCGTCGCAAGCCGGTAGAGGTAGGAGGCTCCTGGTACATATTCAACCTGATCTGTTCACAGAGCACCCGACGGATTTCCTGGATCTGAGGGATGGCGTCTCTAAATAGCGCATGGTTGCTCAGTTGCGAAGGTAGATGGACCAGGTTGAAGCTGTATACTTCCCAGTCGCACCCTTGAGAAAGGTTGTGCTGAATAGCCTCAAGCCAGGCGGCCATGTTTAGTGCGCCTGCTTCCTGCTCGTCATTCTCAGGGACTTCTCCATCGTCCATGTGAGAAAACAGAACAGGGCTAGCAATAGACGAGGGTATCTCAGGAAGAGCGTCCGGATCCGGTAAAGCCCATAGCTGCTGATACTTAGATGCTGCAGGTTTAGCACCGCTTGTCGAACGAGATAGTGGAACTCTCTCTGGATGCTGACCTGAGCCCTGGCCCTGGCCGAATGATATTCCTCGTGTTGTACGAGATGCGACCAGCTCACTTCTTGACTGTCTTTGAGGATGGGCTGCATCATCAGCCAATTTACGAGCTAAAGATGCCTCCGTCCGATATAAGACGCCAGCTAAGCCTTCTGATTCAGTAAATGGTGTCAGATAAATGCGATTGGCCCAATCGGCTCTGAGACGAAAGAGCATCTTCATCGCTGTCAGACGAGCATCATTCGAACGAGCCGATCTGGCGATGTGAATAAGCACGTTGAAAGCCTTCACGGCTTTGCTGACATTAGTGTTCATCGACCGCATGAAGATCTGGACGTAACCCCTCGCCACGACATTGGCCGGACTCTGGTTTGCAAAATATCCAGGGTGCTCGGAGGCTCTGATTGACTCGGAAGGTTGATTTACCAGCGGAGATATTGGTGATTGAAGACGCTCATTGGTGATGATGCCCCTGAGCGTCTCGACAATATAGTCGAAGAGATCATCGTCAGCTGAAGTAGCTACCGAGACCATGAATGACACTGTATCTTGAAGGACTAGAGTATCTTCTTCTTCGGCAATGTCGGCCAAAATGCTCTTTACCAAATTCGGCACACAATCTTTGTCAAGCTGATCTTCTACGAGCTCAAGCATATCATATACTTCGGTGACGCTCTGCAGAGCTCGTAGTCGCACCAGCGTAGTTCGGTTTCGGTTCAAATAGAAATGATCCAATATCAGAGACAGGTTGTCTTCCCATTCTAGATCTGAAGGGTAGCACGAGCGGAACTCCGCAAAATAATCCAACACTAGAGTTGCGGCAGAGTCTGGAAGAACTTGACGGACTTTGGTGAAGAAATTGATACATGCTTGTCGTTGGATAAAATCGGAACGGCGTTCGCGGAATATATCCTCAAGTCTAGAGATCAATGTCTTTAATTCTCTATTGATCGGATCATCGCTCTTTTCAGACTCTTCCTTCATGACAGAACGGACAGAGCTTTGGAAAAGGCTGTCAGCGTCGTTATTAGATGTTGGTATAGCTATTCGTTTCGCGCATTTCTCGGCCACATCGAACAGATCCGTCCAGTCCTCGTCTGCAAGTAATGGACTGAGCCTTCGGTCTCCATCGTCGAAGAGATAGTTGACCAGCCTCAGAACAGACGCGGCGATTCGAGCAGAGGGTGACTTGGTGACAACGTTCGTAAAGCCATCCATAAGAAGAGCAAACGGAAGGATAGGGTAGCCTTTGGCGCCGCCCTTCCATACGAGCTTCTGGAGAACTGAGAGAGCACCTCGTACTTCTCTATTGCCATCTTTCTCATTTTGTCCCTCTCGCGGATAATTGCGCAGGACATTGAGGAGGATCTGAACCGTGGCCTGGCCATTATGAGATTTGAGAAGGTTGGAGAGAGTATGCCATGCGTCCTTTTGCAGGTTGGATACGAGACAGTGGATGGAGCTTATCACCTCCACGCAGCGATCTAATTTTTCCTTCGGTATGGATCCGTAAGTGATGATGGCGTTCACTACTTCTATGCAAGCCCGTAAATCCTCCTCGACACTCGTGTTCATGCAGATGTCGAGCAAAGTATCGATAAGATTGCCGATAGTGTCATCATCGGCTGCCTTGGAATTGAATTTGAGTACTTCCAAGATGAACATGAAAAGCTGAGAGAAATTCTTGTCCTCGCCGAAGACCGCAGCCTTTCCCTTAGTTGACTTGCTAGCACTGCGGGAAGTCTGTCTCCTGGCGGTTCTCACGGCATTGTAAGATGCCTGGAGCCAAGACGTTATCAGAGGAATGACATCGTAATCGAAGCCGGACAAATCCCGCCCATGATTTGTTAGGTCGACCAGAGCTGCAAGTTGCAGATGGAAGTCGTCAGGATTGGCAGTCGCAGAGAGAGTCTGAAAGTATTCGTTCCGCTCGAGGTCAGTCGAGGAAGCATTCTTGACGCATTCGGTGAGTAACTCCCACCCAGCTATCCTCGCATCCGTTGGCTTTGCTTGCTCAATCAAATCCTTCGCGGCGTACCAAATATCGAGAACCGGGTTGAGAGGATAATCGGCAATAGCCAAACGAAGTGACTGAGCGGCGGCGACCCTCTCGGTAAGTGACCCATTCTTCAGCTGTTCGAAGGACGCTATATGATTCGGGGGTAGGCCGCTCACGGTTGGTGCGGAGACATCGACTTGGCCAGAGGCTGATACGGTCGAGGGAGCTTGTGAAGGAGGAGTCGGAGACTTGGTCAACTTCGAGCCAGTTAGGCCTTTGAAGACACTCGCAAGGCCCCCGGCGCCCCTAGCATCGGGGGACTGGGCAGCATCTCCCGGAGACGGCGACATAGAATCGGGGCCCTCAGAGCCCTGCTGGCGACCTAAGGAGACTATCCGGCGCAACATGTTAGCGATGCTTCCGCCGAATGCTTGACGTGACAAAGGTAGGTGGGCGGGGTGGACGAGGCACTTGTTGTCTGGGCTGGAGGACAAGGCATCGAGAAGGTTGATCAGAGCAGCCGGCTGGTTGATGGATTTGTAGTCGAGTCAGGAAGCGATGAAAGGTTCCCAGTTGCCAGAACAATGCTGGCAGGTGATCATGACGACCATGGTGGGATAGCTGTGCTCCGGGGCCCAGGAGAACTTCTGCCAGAGAAGTAGGCAAATGGATGGCAGACGGGCAGACGTTCAGAGGATAGACCGGAGGCAGTCAAGACTGACAAGGCCTTATCCGAGAGAGAGAGAGGGTGCGAGAGAGGAGTTGTGGGAGTAAGACATTGAGACTGGGACTTACAGGCAAACTGCTACCTGCATGCGGTGTGAACCACAAGACGGCTACCGAGCCACAGAGTTCCACGACGCCATCAAGGTGCAGCACACACGCAGGTAGAAATCTACAGTAAATGGTTGCGCAGACTCGGTTGATGATGTGATAGGGGAGCTGGTGGCCCCCTGAGCTAGCCGCAAATCTACTGCCACTTCCACTGCTGCTACTACCACATCCACGCTCCCACCAGTATCTGCCTAAGGTCAAGTCAAGTAGCCGAGTGGGTGCAAACTTGTCAGTAATCGATACGACGGTCGGCGACAGATGAAGTGGTGGCCTGGACAAATTGGATCGGAGTCGTGGAGGAGTGGTTGACGGGATTGGCGTGTGGTTCGCAGGTCGGGGTCGTGGTCATGCACCTAGCTAAGATTCGGGCAGTGAGCAGGTACGGTACAGTACGATTAAATGTACTTGATTTATTGGGGGAAGATGCAGAAAGCCGTGCAAATCATGAGGCCTTGCACCGCCTGCCCAGTCAGTGCTAACTAGTCTAATGTTAATCGCCCGGTCTCCACTCTAATCTCTTAGCGCAGCCGTGCTGTTGTTCCCGGCCCGCCGTCATTTGCTTTTGGTTCTGGTTCGGCGACGGGTCTCTATAATTCCGCCTCGGCCAATCACCTTTCGGTCTCAATGGGAGCTCTCCCAGTCGTAGCTATGGTCTCCATGTAGCCTTACCGGCCCGAGTCGCGATTACTTATATAGCTATCATGATGTTATGAAGGCACATAGAGAGAGAGGGGAAAAGACGGAATGAAAACAGATATAGTTCCTCTTATGTATAAAGCTAGGACATCAAAGAAGAGGACAGGTTGAAAGCATTTCCTCTGGCTCTAGCTACTCGACTTACAGCGCTCGGTAGCGGCCAGTGCCGCCTAGGTCAACTTTAGCGGGTAATGCCACAACGAGCACTGGTATATGTACCTACGGTGCTACCCCTCAAACCCCCACCTCGCCTAGGCCCAGGCACCTGGCAACGCTCCTAAGCTGCTCCCGTTTGTTTAAAAACTTCTGGGATATTTCGCTACACCTACATTTCCTCCTCCCCCACGGCCTGCACTCTAGTAGTACTCTTTCGGTGAGCACTTTGACGACACCAACATAACGGCACTGCCATCTCTCAGCTTTCAGACACTTGTGGGTATCGAAGGCCACGATGGCGGCAGACATTGGCCACATTGCACAGCTGCTGGATGCCACCCTTGATCCGCAGCAGCACAAGAAAGGTATTTGTTTTGATGTCATCACCGATCACCGCTCCACCAGTTACATACATGGATGTATAGCTCACCAAGATCACTATAACAGCTGAGAATGCCCTCAAGCAAGAAGAAAAGAAGCCTCAATATTCGCTGCAGCTCCTCAACATCGTCGCTGCAAAGCCGTTGGCCGCCAAAACCCGCCTCGCAGCCGCGCTCGCCTTCAAGAACTTCATCCGTCTCAACTATGTCGTATGTTGCTTTGTTTCAAAGTGATGGTGCTTTAAAGACTTGCTGACTTGGTGGCATATTTCAGGACGAAGAAGGCAACTACAAGCTGCCCCTCGACGAGGTTGCGACCATCAAACAGGAGCTTGTCGGTCTCATGATCTCCTCCCCACCAAACATCCAGACCCAACTAGGAGAAGCTATCAGCATTATCGCCGATTCCGATTTCTGGGAGCGATGGAACACATTAATTCAGGTAGGCCGGGAATGTTGCCAGGAACACAGTGTATGTGACACTAAGATGTGCACCAGGATCTCGTCAGTAGGCTTTCGCCCACCGACTTCAAAATCACAAACGGCGTATTGGAGGTCGCTCATTCGATCTTTGTGCGGTGGCGTCCTCTATTCCAATCCAATGCTCTGTACGAAGAGATCAACCACGTGCTTGCCGTCTTTGGGGAGCCATTCATCCAGATGCTGAACGTGAGCGATCCCTCCCTTCCTTGCCGAGGTGGCTCAGCTGACATATGCCCTACAGGTCGTTGACAAGCAGATCGAGGCCAACAAGGACAATGCTGATCAACTGAAGGGTTGGTTCGAGACTATGAGCCTTCTGGTCAAGATATTCTACGATCTCTCCTCCCAAGACCTTCCACCGGTGATTGAATCGCATCTCCAGCCCATCACAGGCTTGCTAGACAAGTACTTGTCATATACGAATCCCCTGTTCGAGTCCGATGACGACGATGCCACTGCACTAGAGACGACAAAAGCCGACATTTGCGAGGCTCTGCAGCTCTATACTACTAAGTATGATGACGATTTCGGCGGTTTCTGCGGCCAGTTCATCACTTCTGTCTGGAATCTGCTCTCCACAACTGGCCCCGAGAAGAAGTACGACCTACTTGTCAGCAAAGCCCTTCAATTCCTGACGGCAGTTGCTTCAGTGCCGCGGCACGCAGAAGCTTTCAATAACCAGGAGACCCTTGGGCAGATCGTGGAAAAGGTCATTCTCCCCAATGTCGCGCTTAGGGAGTCCGATATTGAGATGTTCGAGGATGAGCCGATTGAGTTCATCCGTCGTGATCTAGAGGGATCTGACACAGACTCAAGGAGACGAGCTGCTACAGACTTCTTGAGAAAGCTTCTCGAGAACTTCGAAGTGCTCGTCACGACTGTGGTGTCCAAGTACATAAACCACTACCTGAGTCTTGGCAAGTCAGACTGGAAAGCAAAGGATACTGCTGTTTATCTCTTCATTGCCATCGCAGCAAAGGGCACCGTCACCGCAGCACAGGGCATCAAGACGGTAAACCCACACGTCAATGTCATTGATTTTTTCCAGAACAATGTCGCGTCCGACCTATTGGACGATGCTGGAGTTGAACCGATCTCCAAGGTGGACGCTATCAAATACCTGCACAACTTCCGGAGCCAGCTGACCAAGGAGCAATGGCAACATGCCTTCCCACCCCTCATCAAGAATATGGCTTCCACAAACTACGTGGTGTATACATACGCTGCCATTGCCGTGGAACGAGTCCTATACTTTACCAATGATGCTGGAGAGCACTTGTTCAGCCGAGGCGATATCGAGCCATTTGCATCAGATCTTTTGGATCACTTGTTCAATTTGGTAGAGAAGGAGAAAGCACCAGCAAAGATGCAGGAGAACGAATTTTTGATGAGATGCATCATGAGAGTGCTCATCGTCATCAAGGATGGAGTCACCCCTATCATGGACAGAATTCTTGATCATCTAATCGCGATTACCAACATCATTAAGGCGAACCCTAGTAATCCTCGCTTTTACTACTATCATTTCGAAGCAGTCGGAGCTCTTGTTAGGTACGTTTAACGAGAACATCCAATATGGATTTTGCTAAATGAGTCAGGTTCTGCGGCGCAACACACGAATCAAAGCTGCAGGAGCGTTTGTGGGAACCCTTCTCCTATATCCTCAATGAGGACGTTTCAGGTTAGTAGCGCAAAACGCAGCTCCTCGTCAAAAACTAATAATCCTTCAGAGTTCGTCCCATATGTCTTCCAAATCTTTGCAGCTTTGCTGGAAGCGAACCCCACAAGCCCTCTACCCGAGAACTTCAAAACTCTGATTCCCCTTATCCTATTACCTAATGTCTGGGATACGCGAGGTAATGTGCCCGGTGTGGCGAGATTCCTTGCAGCAATTATTCCCAAGGCAACCCAATCCATTGTTGCCGAAAAGCAATTGGAGCCCATCCTAGGTATCTTCCAGAGACTGGTATCTGGAAAGAAGACTGAACAGAACGCCTTCGACATCCTCGAAGCCGTTGGTGGCTCGTTCAATGCGTAAGTCTTTTCAGTCTGATAGAATCTGAGTGAATTGAAAGCTAATTGTGGTCCGTAGCGCTGCCTTGGATCCCTACTTTGGCACAATTCTCACTATTCTATTTACAAAACTCCAGAGTAACCCATCAGACTCCTTCAAGCAGCGGTTTGTCCGCTTCTATCACCTGGTGTCGGCCAAAGGCGCCGAGGCTGGTCAAGGAGCCGACTATTTCATTAACAACGCTGAGACTCTTCAATCTGGCGTTTTCACCCCTATCTATCTCAACATCATTCTCCAGACAACTGGTCAATTTGCTCGGCCAGTTGACCGGAAGATTGGTGTCATCTCATACACCAAAACCTTGTGTGATTCGCAAGCTTTCGCACAGAAGTACCAAAAGGGATGGGGATTCACTTGCAATCACTTGTTGGATCTCCTAAAGAACCCGCCCAAGGTGGCCGCGGGAGTCGGTGATGAGATTATCACGGAGGCGGATGTAGACGACATCGGCTTTGGCGTGGGCTATACCCCTCTGAACACCTGCAAACGCAGTGCCCGTGATGATTTCCCCGAAATCACGGATGTCCAGAGCTGGGTAGGCCAATTCATGAAGGAGGCCAACACCCGACACAATGGCGCAATTGCTAACTTCGTCACGCAACGCCTAACGCCAGAGGCACAAGAGGCCTTGGCACCCTACTTGCGTTAAAGAAGCAGGCTGCTCGAATCTTGGTCAGACCAAGACTTCGAGCCGCATCTTCTTGGACATGTCCTGAAAGTCAGCACGTTTTGCTGTAGATGGGATGACCTGACGTTATGTGGGAAATGTAAAATGGCTACGAGTGTGGCTGATGGAAAGGAAGGCAACTGATACCACGTCTAGAGCGATGAGAGCTAGGAGTATCAGTGTCTCCAGGCGTTCTGGCGGAAAAGGCAGGTCAAGCGACCAGGTCAACCAAGCGTTGGGCAGACGTGGAACCGACCCAGCTTTGACGCGATGAATGCGTCTGTGTCTAGATGTACAGGAAGTACAGAAAAGAAACGTCTCATGAACCCATTTGCTCATATACTCCTCTAAATTGATTCCCGTGAATGACTGAATAGCCCAGCGTTTCGCTTCTCAAATAGTCAAATATTCTTCGTAATCCCAGGCTCGATGCCCTCCAACACCTCCATAAGCTCAGCAAACACCCTTTTCTGCGTCTTCGCACCCTCTGGGTTCAACACCATTGGCGCCGGATCACGCACTTTGCAACTGTCCAGGTACGAACCGTGGCTCCCCTGATCGGCTTCAGCCCCGCCAACCAGCGTGCGCGAGCCCATCTCACCAGTGCGGCCGAACAGGAGCAAGCCTGTCGCAATGATCCAGCTCAATGGCGGCGATGCGTGTCTGAAGAGCTGGGTCCGGCAGTAGCCCGGGTTGATTACATTGACGATGACGGGCGTGTCCTCGTTGCCCGGACGAGACCGCGCCATGGCATGCGCAAGCTCCCTCACGATGAAGACGACGATCAGCTTGGTTGTGTTGTAGCGGTCTTCTGTCATGTCTGCTTCGGATCTGAAAGCTTCAAATATGGACGGTGATTGCCTTTCCTTGAATCTAGCCTTGATACACGAGTTAGGCTGTCTGGGTCTCTGAAATACCCATTGGGTGTTGAAGAGGCAGTTACTTACAAAGTAATGCGCGTCTGAAGAGACAATAGACAGATGAGTCTGCACATTATGCTTAGACGCCGTCCGCCTCAGAGTCGGCAGCAGGAGGAGTGCCATGAGGAAGGTCGAGACGACATTGACTGTGACACTGCTCTCGAAACCTTCGAGCTCTTCAAATACACCCATAGCGAGAGCGGCGTTCTCAATCACGACGTCCAGGCGGTCCAGCGTCGCCGCGCGGCGGCAAAACTCCCTGACGCTGTCGAACGAGCCCATCTCCAGGGGCCAGACCTCGACGACATCCTTTCTGCCGGTAGTTATCTCGATATCCGCTTTGGCGACTTCGGCCTTCTCGGCGGAGCGACATCCCAGGATGACTTTAGCGGCGCCGAGCCTGACGAAGTGCCGCGAGGCTTCCAGGCCTAGGCCAGAATTGGCCCCGGTCACGATTATAGTCTTGCCGCTGAAGTCTGTTGCAGGCACAGGGAGTGGCTTGAATTGATTCCATAGAAAGTTGGCCGAGAAGCTCAATGGTCTATCGGGGCGGCTGGTCAGCAAAAACAGTCCAACTCTTAAGAGCACAGAAGCTACAGCACAGATTGAGAATCTCCCGGTAGTTGGCATCAGTGAACCAGGAGAACGGGCCGCATCCGGGGTTAGATATCTTCGCCATTTACATTGATGTTGGGGTGATGGAGGTTTTGCAGACAATCACCAGCTCTCACGTCTGGTGCGGTGACGGTGTCCTGGAGTTGCGGCTGTTTCACTTGAATACGAGTACAGTCTCCGCAATAAATCTGGGGGGTGGCCTGTTGGCACTGCCATCTTATCGCCCAGAACAGTCAACTAGAGATCTCCCGATCTCTTAGCAACGTTGTGTCAAGGAAATGCAAGAGCGCTGCCTGATAGTCCGTGTAAGTCAACCAAAGGAAAGATCGTCTTTATTCAAAAGGCTTGGCTTATAATCAGCTGTGTAACAATTAAATACAAGGTGCTTACTGCAGCGCGGGAATCCCAACGCCATGCAAATGTAGAATGGGTTACCTACCTACATATAAGTAGATACCAACCCTACGATAAGAGCCTACAATCTCGCCGACCAGTTTTGAATCATGCCATCTCTTCATAGGAAACGTAGGCCAAAGACAAAGTATCATGCCTCAGCTGCTAGAGCTTCTCCGTGTCTACGATTCTCGTAAATGATGACACTAATCAACCGATAACGTCCAACATCTCCAGAACACACTGGCAAGCTAAGCTAGCTAGGTAGCTTATTAGTGCCTCTCCCTGCTGTTTAGTACATTTCACTACCCCACAGTTTCACAGGAATGCCGTCCCCCACAGCGGACCACTACCTCGGTTCTCCAAGCTTCATGCGGAGACCAGCATCACGGTCTGCTGCGGGTATCCAATTCCGCCTTAGAGCCTCTACAACGTCACTTCCTGCTCGGCTGCGGGTAGCTGGTATGGTATGGTGTCTAGAACAACATGATATGGCATGACATCTTTTCTTCTGCAACCGCCATAGAGGCCTTCCTCTAGACGTCGTGTACTATCCCTGAGTCTGAAGCTGTAGATCAAGTGAAGCATACAAACATGGTCGGACCTCCCCCTTTGACCGGACTGAAGGTCCTTGAGTTTGCCGGGCTGGCACCTGGTATGGGCAATCTCATCCCGATTGGAGTTTAGTCCCACATGAGACTAACATACTCAATGTAGGCCCCTTCGCCGGCTTGCTCCTCGCAGATGCCGGCGCCAGTGTGCTGCGCATCGACCGCGCCATCCCGGGCAAGACTCACACGCCGGGCAGCGCCCCGGAGCCGACGGAGGACATGCTGGCGCGGCACAAGTCGTCCATCGCCGTCGACCTCAAGAACCCCCGCGGCGTGGCGCTGGTGCGCGAGCTGGCCAGGCACGCCGACGTCGTCATCGACCCCTTCCGCCCGGGCGTCCTGGAGAAGCTCGGCCTCGGCCCGGAGGTGCTGTGCGCGGCGAACCCGCGCCTGATCTTCGGCCGCATGACGGGCTTCCGCCGCGACGGCAGGTACCGCAACATGGCCGGCCACGACATCAACTACCTCGCCGTGGCGGGCGTGCTCGGCCTGCTGGGCCGCAGCGGCGAGAAGCCCACGCCGCCGTGGAACATCCTCGGCGACTTCGCGGGCGGCGGCGCCGTGCTCTTCCAGGGCGTCCTGATGGCCGTCGTCGCGCGCGAGAAGACGGGCAGGGGCCAGGTCGTCGAGGCCAACATGGTGGACGGCAGCGCGTACCTCGCGACCTTCCCGCGCTTCGCGCTCAAGACGCCGCTGGGAGACCAGCCGCGCGGTCAGAATCTGCTGGATACGGGCTGTCCGTACTACGATACATATGAGACCAAGGACGGCAAGTACATGGCTGTCGGCGCGATAGAACCGCAGTTCTTCAAGGTCTTGATCGAGGGGCTGGGCTTGGATGGTCAAGGATGGGAGGAGCGTAGGTACAACCGCAGCGACTGGGCCGATCTGAGAAGCCGTATCGAAAAGTCCTTCAAGAGCAAGACGAGGGCGGAGTGGGAAAAGACGTTTGATGGCACCGATGCCTGCTGCACACCCGTGTTAGACTTCCGCGAGATGGAAGGAAGCGCCGAGAAGGAGGGCGATCAGAGACCGTCCGTCGTCTTGAGGGAAACACCGTGTCTCGCTGTGCACCAGGGAGCTACAGATCCCGCCCAGGGGCAGGGGGCTGGTGTATCTGGAAACGGATATGCCGGGTCTGCGCTGTATCCCGGAAAGGGTGGGGAGGAAGTTCTAAAGCAGTGGCTCAGCTGGTCCAGGGGCGCACAATTTGACGTTGAGAAGGGCGGCTTAACGTTAAAAGAAAGGTCAAGATTATAATAGGGTATATCATTATCTGAAATTCATTTTTGGCGCACAGCAATTGGCAAACATTACCGCCGCGGTATAAAATGTTCCATTTTCATGTCCGTTGCAACTCTGTCATCGCCAGAGACTCCTCGACTCCATATATGCACTACTTTGGCAATACCTCACTTTTAGCTACCTAGTGCTTCTGAGGTGGTTCTGGCGTGAAGAGCACTCACTCTAGAGATCTGAAGAAGCCCTGAAGATAATTCGCTGCCTGTCTTCGCCATCCCTTCATTTTCCTGAGGGACTCGGCGGTGGATTCGGAGGCGGCGGTGGAGGGGTGTCTCGAGATCTGCCAGCCATCTTCCTAGCACTACGATACTGCAACTGGCAGTAATCGCACAGTTTGAACTCACGGGGTACGAATGATAATCTTCAGAAGACACAGTCGAGTTCCTGATCGACCAAGTCTATTTGTCTTGAATCATTGAATCTGATGTGTTGCAATGAGCTACCCAATCAACCAAAGGAGATAGTTAGCCAAGGGTTGCTATGTCGACCGAAGAATTTTGTAGATATCTGTATGAATTTATTGCTGGTTAGCTACGAGATTGCTTGAAGGATATTTACACTGATGATGCATCTGCTGTTTGCTGTTTGCTGTTTGCTGTTTTCTTATTCTATCGGCCCGCTGCATAGCTCCTATACTACTACTCTCACCGACAGCTGATGGCGTGTTGTCCCGGCTTATTCAGGCGACTTGAAGGATGGTTCAGAAAAGAGCAATCAGATCCAGTGTACTCCCCCCACTTGTCAGCCATTCAATATGCAGGTTTGTCGGCCTTTCTAGGCCCCCTTGCCAGCGGAGCGGGCGTTGGGGCGGCGGATTCTTGTCGTTCTCCTCCAGAGAGGTCAGACAGTTAGAGAAGTGTGGAGGAGACGTGGGATGCGGTGTCAGGAAAAAGCAACTCCGAGTTCTTGCTTCTGATCCGATACGTGGGCTACTCTTAGCCTAACAGCCGATGTGCATCACAGTCTAGACTTTCCCTGTCTTTTTGTTTGTTTCTTCCATGACGAAACCTTGACCGTTTCTAATTTTTTGGTTGATTTGAACTGGCTGCGAACGTCTTGTGCTCCTCCCGTCTTTTCTGGCCATGTTGTCCAGAATCCAGGCCCAGTCGCTTACTGTTGCGAAAATTCCCATCTCAAGATCATGGAAAAATGGGATTGATATTTCAACTACTACTACTACAATACCATACGTCGCGATCTCAAACCCGTCGCCCTCCATTGTCTCCTCTGAAGTAAATGTGCTACAGGTCGGCCTTCTTTCCTTCGTGTTGTCGTCGAGTCATCTCGTAGTCTAAAGCAGGCGCGGCCAATACACCCCCGGAGCACTCTGTAAAAAGCAATCCCCAAACAACAGGTTATTAATAAGGGGATAGTAGTCAAGGGGAGGAGGAGGAGAAGGAGTAAGGAAGCCCAATCTTCATTCGGCCGGTGGTATCGAAAAGGGACGAGCTCTATGGATGAAGAAAAAAACAACCCGCCCCGTAACTTCCGGTGTGACATGACTCTACCCGCATTACCACAACGACTATCTAGGCCGTCACCGCGAATTGCTCTACCTGGCTTGATGTACTGTTCTGTGTGGTGTTCGTCTGGTGTCTTTGTCTGGGCACTGACGCTCACTGAACTTGGCTGACGATTTCGCTTGCGCGAGACAGGGACTCTACCATCTGCTGGCACTCCTTCCTCCTGCGGATAGTGTAGTCGCTCTCCTTTAGAAGATCGTCCAGTTCGCTAGCCCTGTACATGTTCTCTAAAAGCTCCTTTTGCATCTCATCCTTGGTGAACCTAAAAAATTCTTGTGAGCATGCGATTCGGGAAACATACTAGGGATAAATACATACTGGACGAGGGTAAGCATGATGGCCTTTGGTACCATGTCGATCATGGTCCTCTTTACGATGTTAAAGTAAGAGGCGATGAGCAACTCTGCAGAGACGGTTAGACAAAAATAATAATAATAAGGCTTGTGTGAGCTTACTGATAACCTCAACTTCAATATTCTCTCGCTCGGATAGTGTGCCGGACGCCTTCAGCATCGGCGGCGGGGGCTCCATAGCCGCAGCCTTCTTCTTGTTCTTCGCAGCGAAGAAGCTGCCAAAGAAGCCTCCATTGGAGTCACCGAGGTTGCTATCAGCCAATGTCGGGCTTGCTGCTCGTGGTGTGGAGGCAGAAGCAGGTAGGGGTTTGCCAGTCTTGGGGTCAACCTGTACCGGCTTTGACGGATTGTGGCGCTCGTTGACCATAGCCATTGCGCGGTGGCCGTTTAGGAAGTCAGGGTGGCCAGTGTTGATGTAGCATGCTTCCATGGCAACAAGATCCTTGACGAGCTTGTTGGTGGGGTCCATAGCCTTCTTGAAGAAGCCAATGACCACAGCATGAACCTTCTCCTTGAGGGAGGGGTACCGTCGGTAGAGGGTCTTGCCGAGCAGCTGGCTGAGAATGCGGACAAGCTCGTCGTAGACGAGAGAAACGCACTTCAAGCTTGGCTCCTCCAGCCGCTTAATCTGCTGCTTGACAATCAGCTCGAAGGCGGTGGTGCCGACAAAGAGTGCCGGCGATGAACCAGAGGAGTTGTAAAGAATGGTTCGAATGTCCACATCCTTCACAACATCGAAGGGATCCACCGCCTTCACACCGTTGGAGTATAGCTCGTGGAAGACGAAGCTGATTCTGGCACCTCCGGACAGCTCGGTACTTGACAGCTCTGTGTTGTTGCCGTCAAGAACAGTCCGCCACTCGTTGGTGAACTCCGTGATAATATTCAGCACGATGTTGGCGCTGTTACCAAGTAGCGAGGGGCCAAGGCTGTCAAGCTCAGACGTGTACTTTTGCAGAGAGCTCGCAATACGAGCCTTGATATCCGGCAGTGTCTGCTTGATATGCATCATCAAGATGAGATTGAGCTTTCGCGCCAGGTATGGTGTTCCGCAGTACGAGCTCTTATTTCTGTATGCCTTGTGGTTCTCGAAGTAGTTCTTCTCGCCCTCCAGGGCGGCTTGGATGGGCTTCTTGTTGTCGATATCTCTCTGACCTCGATTTACAACAGGGACGTATCCTAGGCGTAGAGGGATGATACGACCGGCAAGAATATCGACGACATCCGTACCCTCGTCCATGAGGTCGACCTTGGTCAGAACACCAATGGTCCTTTGTCCCTCGGGGTCCACCTCTCGAGCGAGCTTCAAACCATCAGAGTTGGCCAGATCGATATTCGCAGCTGTGACAGCCAGGATGATGGCATTCGACTTTCCAATATACTTCATGACCATATCTCGGATTTGTCTCTCGATATCTCGCGGCTGATCACCAACAGGCACCTTTGTCAGACCCGGCAGATCGACCAAGGTCAGGGTGAGGACGTTCGGAGAGTAAACTCTCAGGTTGATCGGCGCAGGTGAAATGCCCGCATTCCGGCCGACCTTGGCCTCTGTCTCTCTGCTGATTTCATCTCGGATCTTGTTAAAGTCGTAGAACTTCTGCCCAGGAATATGCAGGAACTCGCCCCACTCGTCTGCGTTTGCGGCCTTATCAGTGCTGCCAGCGATCTCCTTGTCGACGCCATTTGTCTGGGCAGAGGCAGGTCGGTTGATGAGTTGGAGCACAAGGGGTCGTCGTGTCACGATACCGGAGCCTCGAGGTAAGCTTGAGAACAGGTTGTGTTAGTCTTGTGCCCCGCGATGCGTGCCAGGATCTAAAGGGAAAGGGGGTGAGGCTTACAAGTCTCTGCCGACGATATTCTCTAGCACGGAACTCTTTCCACTGGACTGGCTGCCAACGACGACTATTTGGGGAAGATCGATGGGGTTGTTGACTCCGACGGTAGCGAAGACATCCTGGAGCTTGTTCACGAGCCTAGAGACTGTAGATTAGCTTTGTGTGCGACCGAGCAGGAGGACCGTTGTCGCAGGATCGCCAGGCTCGAGCTTTCTCGGGACAAAGACGTACGTGATGAGAGCTGGGTCTGAGATGCCTCCCTGCGTCGCAAGAGAGTTATTAGCCGCCATGACGCCGATATTGGGCGGTCGTTTGGAGCCGCAGGTGATGCCCGATGTGTCTGGAGTGGCCTCCTTTTTGATGGCTCTATCTGCCGCAGGGGGGCTGTCTGCAACCTGTCCGTTTCCGTATGCCTGGTCGACGGGCTCGCTCTTGATCTTTAGTTTATCGTCGTCTTCTTCCTGCTTGATAGTAGGAGATTTTGATGTGCGTGGTGCAAGATTAGCTTGGGAAGTTTTCTATGACGGGGGTTGGAGGATAAGGTAGTGCTGTAGAGCAAGCAGGCCGGGGGAGATTTGACTCGCAAGCCGACATTCACAGGCGTGGCACGTAACTAGCGTCGAACCAGCTGGACTTACGTATTTTTGCCGCTACACCGACCTCCATGGTGTGGCGCTCGCTCATTGTGGCGCACGTGATACTGCCTGGCCAGCTCATTCAAAGCGTTCCACCGTATTACCTAGGTAGGTGCTATTAAACTGATGCCTGGAAAGTCCACGTCGTCCCCTGAGTAAGAAAACGCGGCCTCTAAATTCGATATATCGCTTTGCAATTAGGTCAGCCGGATGCTTGGTCACTTGTAGTTGTGTCTGCTGAGCGGATCAACAAAACTAAAGAATATCCGGAGGAATTTGGTGTCTTCTTGTAATCAAATAGAGGAATTATTGTCGACTTCTGCTCTGGTCTTTGTGAGCCTTGATGAAGCCGTGCTTTAGGGTGAAGCTCAAGGTAGTGATGAAGTCTTCAGCTTCATGGTTCAAGATGACCGAAGTTCCGCGTATAGCTGTACGACAGAACGCACTCCACTAACCTGATAGCACTTTCGCGAATTTCGGGTCAAGCATGAGGCTGCCTGGGCGCATGTCGCGTAGGTGGTTGTCATGGCCTTCTGCTTCGAGTAATGTGACGGAAATTTCAGCTGTTGAAAGCGGTAAGCGCTCGGGAACCAAACATAAACACTGCAACAGTCGATGCCAGATTAGAAGGAGTTTTGGGGGTTAACGCTATATGATTCTACGGTGCTCCATCTATCTTTGCGTTGACACACAATGTCCGATCCCCCATATAAATCGTCTCATCCTCCCAAGCAACTAGCTCACAGTCTACAAGGACTGCGGTCTGAAGTGAACAGTATTCCGCCACTGGTGTATCGCTTCACTCCCTGCATGGAGGGCAATCTTGTCCTCTCGCTGATGTACATGTATCCTCCAGCTCCAGATCCGCTACAGGGGGCCCTTCAGGTTTCCCCTGAATCCGCCATGAGCTGCAAGATGGTAGAGAGCCGCCAGAGGCTCGTTCACCTAATGACTAATGCCGGCCGACGTTGACCCTGCTTAAACATAGCCCATCAACCTACCCGATAATTTGACTGCCGGACGCCCGCGTGGATGTTGATGCTAGCGTGACGTCGTATAGCGATACTGGAAAATAAAATGGAGAATCCCGGAAGCCCGATGCCTGTCTCTCCAAGTTCGCCAACCCATGCATTATGGTATGATCCAACGCAAAACAAAGAAAACTTTCAAGAAGCCAGAAGCTTGACTGCGGAACTATACCTCGGCAGGCTGCTCACTCCGCCAGCCATTGGAACTGCGGCCATTCGAGTTGTAGGATTTCAACGCCACGCTTCGTAACCGATCCTTGTTTGACCAGCTATGTGAGTTGTAAGTATGATGTTCACATTCACCCAGAAGAAAAAGGGAAAAGAGCGCTTACATCTTGACTCTGCTGTCATCACCACAAGATGCAAACATACAAGGATCTTCTGGATTCCAAGAAACGGCATTACATCGCGGGTGATGTCCGTCTAGCTTCATGACAGGAACGCCAGAGTTTTTGTGCCAGATTGATATGAAGCCGTCTGCAAGCTGTTAGCAGTGTTCCAAGAATGATGGATCTAGACTTGCCTTCGCTACCACTTATGACAAAGCTCTCATTTGCACCACCAAGGTCGCTCCTGATTGTATATTCACCGCCGGTATGGCCTGTGTACTTCTGCACCACCTCACGAGTTACAATGTCGAACAACTGAGCCTCGTGGTCCTTTGTGTTAATCAAAAGGAACCTCGAATCTTGAGTGATGCTGACTGAGGTCGGCCTAGACTTCGTCTCCATTTCATATTCGAGTTCACGGGTCATGAAGTTGTAGAGATGAAGATTATTAAGATCGTCCATAGCAACCATCCAGTGGCCATCCGCCGATACGGTAAGATCTTCCGTGCGATGCTTTTTTGTCCAGGTATACAGCTTTTCTCCATCGAGATTCCACTGGCACAAGGAACGGTCCTTGTCGAAGGATCCCACCACAATAGAACGGCCGTCGGCAGCCCAGACACAGCTGCTGACAGGCTCTTCGAAACGTTCTAGTGATCTCAAAAGAACGCCAGTCTGTGAGTCTATTAGTATGACAATTCACTAGGCGGAGACAGTCATAGTTACGTTGGCATCCCAAATGCGGGCGAAGCGATCCCGGCCGCAAGATACAATCATGGAGTCATCAGGGCTCCATGCAACATTACCCACACCGCCCTCGTGACCATCTAATTTGAATGCCAAGTCAAAAGTAGTAACATCCCAAACATACACGGCCCGGTCACTCCCACAACTGGCCAGCCGTGTGCCGTTGTGTGAGAAACGGACTTGCCAGACTTCACCAGCCTGCTTGTCCAGCTCATAGATGACCTCAGTTGGGAATTGATTCCTATCACATACATGATCCGCATATAATGATGGGGAGGTGGCACTTGTGTGATAGAGGCAGTTGCCGATCTGCCATTCCTTCACTTGCTGGAGAAGCACAGCCAGCCGGTGCTCCGGTAGCATGACTGATGGTGATATGCATTCTGCAGGCTTTGTTAGTCACATTCAGGTGCCAAAGAATCGGATTATATTAGACATACTGGAGAGCTCGGAGAGCAAGATATGTCTCGACTGGCCGAATGCACCGTCCCACTCGGCTTTGACCTTCAGATCCTCTGGAGACTGGCACATGAGAAGGCTGGAGAGGAAGTGAAGCTGTTGCGTGTCTTGATACAATGGTGTCAACTCGGTTCGGAGGACTGTGAGAGCTCGGCCGGTGTCCTGCTTCTCTAAGAGCTCCAAGAACTTTTGTTGTCTTAACCAGAATCTCATGACATTTCGATCGGCTCCTTGCGCAAGGACCAAGCCGTTGCCTGCCTGGCTTCCATCTGCTGCTGTGCTGGCTCCGAAGAGGAGCTGTTCTGCTTCAGACCATTCCCCATCAAGAACGGCGGAACGGAAGGATGCCACAGTCGGGCTCTCAAGCTCACAGCCGCTGTCTCTGCTCACACTCCTAGCAGCGTCGTTGTAGCCCATGTCAGACAAGGCCTGTATGAGGATTCGCGTGACCTCTTCTCGGTCATGGCCAAAGAAGGTTGCTGGTGCCTCCCGGGCAGCTTCCTTGCCATTCTGTGAAGATCCGTTCAACGAGCCTGCGGATACCGCCTTGTGTGTCCCATTAGTCGACGCCACCAATGGGGTTCGCGGTAGAGCGCGAGATCCGTTGGAGAGCCCTCTGGATGTCCCGTTAGAACTTGCCTGTCCATCTCCGTCGGCCAACATGCTGGCGGCACGCCTGCGTTTGGTCTGGGGTCGTCTGTCCGGGGTGGGTGTTGCCGTAGAAGAGCTCGAGGCCTCCCCTGCGGTGCGCTCGAGTTCGTCGTCCGATGTCCCTCGCTGTCGTCGTCCAAGAAGCTGCCGGGTAGTACGGGTCGTGGCTGCTCGCGGAGCTCGGGCACGTGTTCTCGTTAAGCGCACTGAGGGTGTCGGTTCGGTCTGCTGGGAGGCAGCAGGGTCATTCGTGGTTTGGGCAGAGAGGACAGTGTTGGGAGGATCTTGGGGGTCTTGCGTGATGGATGGGTCGTCGGAGGTGGATGGGGTATAAATAGGGTTCGATGGGGGGATTTGGTCTGCCACTGCGTTCGTGCTGCGGGAGAGCTTCCCGCGGCGATGGTGATAGCTTCGTGTGTCTGTGGTTGGTGTGCTGCTGACAGCCGTACGGGTCAACAGGAGTGACAAGAGAGAGAGAGAGAGACCCGATCAACGGCAGCAGAAGCTGTTCATTCGGTGTCGATGTCGATGTCGGAGGTGATCACAGGATCGCAGCAGGGAGGAGCTTCCCTAGCAGCTCGAGGTCACGGTCGGCGCTAGGAAGGGTATCGATGATGACTTAAGATGGCTCCGGCATTTGGCCGATTGAGGAATGGCGGGAACCGGGGCTCAGCAGGCGCTGTGATGAACCGCTCAAAAAGCTATGTTGGCTGGTATCTGTGATCTGTGATCTGTGGTCTGTGATGTACTGTGTAAGGCAGATATCGAGATGGGACAGGGTCACGGTGTTTCGCAGAGTACAGATTGGCAGTTGATGGTGTGTTAAAGAGTTGGGGAACGGGCGTGCCGTCCGGTAGTGTTGGCGGTGGTGGTGGTGTCTTTGGGGGCAGCGTTTAGGTCGGGTCAAGTGTCTCTTCCTCCAATTAGGTACCTGCCACCTGTACCTAGGCAGATAGACAAGCTCGCTGCCCACTGGGCGATCACTGATGTGGAGGAAGCTACCGTAACTTGCCGGAACTCTCTCTATCTACGTGACGCACTTTGGGTAGACGGGCTACCTGGTAGAAAGAAGCAGGCAGGCAGGCAGGACCCATCATACCTGCCTTGCGGGCTCTTTTCACTTCTTGTTCTGACCTTCCTTTGCCTCAGACCTTTCAGATTAGATTTGGCAGGCATATCTAGGAGCTAAGTAACCTAAGTGCCTAGGTAGGTTGGTATCTTAGGATGGAAGCTGTCTGGGGCAATCCGAGATGTGCGTGCGTGCGTACGCATTCGATGGATTACAACTACACCGGCCCTACCAAGGTAGGGAGGTAGGGTAGCCAGCCAACTGGGCGCCCCTGTTCCATCGCCTCACCACCACCACCACCACCACCACCAGGGTTGTCTCCGCACAGCAAATCCTCGTGATCGACCCCCTCCTGAACTGTAGGAAGACCACTAAGTTTAGTGTGTGGGTTAGGCCTGATGACATTGTGGAAGAGGCGTTGGTTCGCTGACAGTAGTCGGACATGACACGGGCGTGCAACTGATAAGGGAGCGTTCCGAGAATATAATTAAGCTTCCTCTTGATAAGACAGACACTTCAGACTCAACCCGAGTTTGTCGAGTCTTCAAGTCCACTTGTCTCTATTTTCTCTTCGGTTTCGCCCTCGTAGCCTGCTTTCTTTATGCCTTTCTTATTTCAAGTGGCTCAAACTTGAGAACTTGTCTACAGAACACAGCTCGCCAGACTACCTAGGTAAAGCTCGACGCTGTAAGTGAAGTGACCTCTCACAGGTGAAGAGGGGAACATGCCCGTCGCTCCGTTAGTAGAGGGATAATTACACCACAGGACAGGCCTGCAGGTCGCCGCAACTCCAGAGTGCCCAGCCAGCCAGTCTCAGACTCCGATGCACAGGCAACCTACCATACCTGATGTAAGCGTTGAGCTGCAGCGCGTTGATTGGATTCGCCTTGACTGGACTGGGTTGGGGCCGCTGGGCTGGGCTGTCTCAACAACCCCTCCCCTCTACTAGCAGCACAGGCAGGGTCAGGAAAAGGAGGGGCAGGTGAGAGAACATCAAACAGCTCATGGGGAGCCCGTGATCCGAGCGGCGACCTCGCGCGCTCTGTGGCCGTCAGTCTCGGTCTCAGTCTCAGTTTGTCCATTTTCGGCTTCTTTCTCCTCTTTGTCTTGTCTGGTCTTGTCATATCTCCTCCAAGTTGTAGAATCATAGATCATAGTCGAGTTTGCTCTTACTCCTCGTCCTTTCCAAGGATCCCATGACCAAAGCCGCCTCCCGCTACTGGAGCCCGTGCCGGCTTATCGACTAAGACTTCGCGAGTCCACTCCTACCTCTTTTAGCAGCGGCCTTTGGAGAGCGCAGCCGCCGCTACTTTCAGACATGACCGCCGAGGAGGTGTTTTGGCCCGCCCCTGCGCGGAATCCCGACTTATACGGGCCGAGGGCTAAACACAACACGACTCGGTGTTCTCAGCTGGCTGCCGAGTTCTTTAGGGACGGCGTCCGGAGAGCTCGCGAGCGCAACGTCAGGTGAGTCTTCCGCCGCATCGGCTGCAAAGTGTCTGTCCCAAAAAGCACCCGTCATTGAACCCCTTTATCAGGCAAAATGAACTAGATCAACGCCTCCGGGAGCCCATCTCTGGGCAGGCCCGAGAGCAGATTTGGATCAACGCCGGCCGGCTGGAATCAAAGTACCTGCGCTTCCTTCGGACCAGGAATAAGGCCGATGACTATGATACCATCAAGCTGATCGGTAAGGGCGCGTTTGGCGAAGTGAAGCTTGTCCGGAGGAAGCAGGATGGGAGAATTTACGCCCTGAAATCGCTGGTGAAAAGTCATATGATTGCGGGCGACCAAGTGGCCCATGTCAGAGCCGAGAGAGATATCCTCGCAGAGTCAGACAGCCCCTGGGTCGTCAAGCTGTTCACGACATTTCAGGACACAAAGTATCTCTACATGTTGATGGAGTTTCTCCCGGGAGGCGATTTGATGACCATGCTTATCAAGTATGATATCTTTTCTGAGGATATCACCCGCTTCTATACTGCTGAGATCGTCATGGCGATTGACGCTGTTCATCAGCAAGGCTTCATTCACCGGTACGTCGCTTTTAATGCCAAGAGGAAATGGCGGTCGCTCTGACTAACTTTGTAATGCTAGCGACATTAAGCCGGACAATATTCTGCTAGACAGAGGAGGACATGTCAAGCTTACGGACTTTGGCCTGTCCACCGGCTTTCGCAAAATGCACGACAACACCTACTACCAGCAATTGCTGAATGGGGATGGAGCACAGTCCCGGCGGAGCATGTCAAATCGCTACTCGGTCAACATTGACCAGATAAATCTGACGGTCAGCAACCGGGGCCAAATCAACGAGTGGAGGAGATCAAGACGGTTGATGGCGTACTCGGCAGTCGGGACACCGGATTACATCGCCCCTGAGATCCTGACTGGCCAAGGATACTATCAAGATTGTGATTGGTGGTCACTTGGCACGATCATGTTCGAGTGCCTCGTGGGCTGGCCCCCTTTCTGCGCCGAGGATCGTAGAGATACATACCGGAAGATCGTGAATTGGCAACAAAGTCTCTACTTCCCAGACGACGTTGTGTTGAGCTACAACTCAGA